AAGGGGGGGGTTGCGAACAACAAACACGAAAATTGACGGGACGGAAAAGTTGACGGGACACATAATCCCACACCATCATCATTTCCCCTCCGCTACCCAGCCAGCCGGGGTGTGGTACCAGGGGAGGGGGGGGGAGGGAAGGGGGGGGGAGTCAGAATGAATGGGTGCTTGTGTTTGCAGCGTTGTACGGCAATGTGGGTGGTTGACGGTCATTGGATGATGACGGGGTGACATTGGATTGTCATTGTGTGAGCGCGGGATGAGGTAGGGAAGTGGGGGGAGGGGGGTGAGGGCGCCTTATTAAGCAGTCATACTTAGGGTAGTCATACTACTAAGTCTCATACTCACCACAATACCGAATCGGCCCCAGGAAACAGGGGGTTCCCTCCAGATCGCTGTCCCCTGCCCCCAGCTCCCTCTTTAAGAGCGCGCTCTAAAGCTGCCCATGGCCGCAAATCTCGGTTTAATTTTGATTTTTCATACCCAAGCCCAAGCCCAGTCATCCCAATCTCCCGGGTACAAATGTTCGGGTTACATACACCCACCACCAAGTAGATCTCCGCCCTACTCGGAGGGCTCCCCTGCTGTCAAGACGGCGATCTTATTCTCTTCACTTAAATTGACACGTTGACCCATGAGCTGTAAAATATATGCCTGCAGTATCCGTCTATATCTCTCCCCCGGGTATCTGCTTCGATTGCCAGTGGTTCGTCTCCCCGCCCGCGCCGCATTAACACCCCCCCCTCCTCCTCCCGCAACCCCCCTCTGCCACTACTAACCCCCCCGCCCCCCCACCCCCTTCGGGCCCCCCCACCCCCTTCTCGGGCCCCATCAGGCGGTCCAAGCCGCTCAGCTCACGTTCGAGGACTTCTTCATGGCGGACCTGAACATCCCGGGAATCCGCATCGTGGGGTACGAGGGGCTGCTGGGGGCGGTGGGCACCCTCGCCGTCATGATGCCCATCGCCTACTACCTGCCAGGTGCGAATCAGTCATCAGTCGAATCATCGGATTCGGGGTGTGTGTCTGTGTGTGTGTCTGTATGTCTGTGTGTCTGTATGTCTGTGTGTGTCTGTATGTCTGTGTGTGTCTGTATGTCTGTGTGTGTATGTCTGTTTGTGGGTCGTTTTGCTATCAATCATCTGAGCTGCGGTGATAGGGGAACAGAGGGGGGTTAGGTGGTGGGTACATAAGTAACAGTACCGATGCGAGCTCCGGAGTCCCTTTTAGGGATTTTGCGTGACCTTTGAGAAATGGCCTTTTCCTCCTAGTGGAAACTGGCTGTGTAGACATTGCGGCGTGGATTCAAGATAATATAAGATGTTGCACGACGTGTTGGTGCTTTGGCTGTTGCTTGATTTCGACATGGGCATCGCTGCAGCACTTTTTACACTCTTTTCCCCCCCCCTCTGGGTGTCGTACAACCCCCTTTCCCCCCACCCTCCCTCCTCCCCAGGTGCCGAAGGGGAGGGTATTCACGAGGACTTCCTGGACACCGTTCAGGTGATTTGGGTTGGGAGAGTTGGGAAGTG